GGATGCTCAAACTCTACCTAAATAGACAGTTATACACACATGCACGTGTGGGCGTATACACACACACACACACACACACACACACACACAAGCACGCACACACACATTATTTCAGTTCCATGAGGACAGGAGTCCTTATGTATTTTGTTCACTGCTGTGCCCTGGTACCCAGAGCGGGGTCTAGAAAGCACAAGATCAGTGCTAAGAAACACAATCTCATCTGTCATGTATGCCTTTGTAAACCCTTTCCCAGCAGACAACCTGACAAGTTCTGTCACTTTAAATGACAGCTGAAGTACCATTGACCTTGGACCTGCTTGGATGTCTGAGCTTATAAACTCCTTCTCAGAAAAGATTTTTAAATGCATAAAGTAAAATACATAGGCTTACAAAAAAAAAAAAAAAACAATTAACATGTAATTATCCAAATTTTAAAATGTGGCTATAATGCATTAAGTAACAAGATCTTTTGATGGGTCAAATCACCACCACAATTTCTAAGTAATGAGTATAGATGATTCTTTTGTGATATAGCTGACAAATGTAAGGTGGCTATTTCTACTGATGGTAAATTCACTGGTCTGCTTCTACTGCAGGGATTTAATGCCCACGTTCACCACTGAAGGAGATTCTACCTTTCATTTAAGGTTAGCAAAAACTGGAGGTGTAAATTGTTCCCATCAAAGTCCATAAACTCTGGCAGATTCCCTCATCCAAAAACTGATAACCACTGAGTAGTTTACTGAGCTGGAGTGGAGGGGAATCCCTGCATAAAAATGATCTGAATCCAGTGATGATGAGCATTTTTTCATATGTTTGTTGGCCTCCTGTATGTCTTCTTTTGTAAAGTATCTGTTCATATCCTTCACCCATTTTTGAATGGGCTTGTTTGTTTTTTTCTTGTAGATGTGCTTTAGTTCTTTGTAAATTCTGGATATCAGCCCCTTGTCAGATGGGTAGGCTGCAAAAATTTTTTCCCATTCTGTTGGTTGCCGATTCACTCTACTGACTGTTTCTTTTGCCGTGCAGAAGCTGTGGAGTTTGATTAGGTCCCATTTGTCTATTTTGGCTATTGTTGCCATTGCTTTTGGCGTTTTGGTCATGAAGTCCTTGCCTACACCTATGTCCTGAATGGTTTTGCCTAGATTTTCTTCTAGAGTTTTCATGGTGTTAGGTCTGATGTTTAAGTCTTTAATCCATCTGGAGTTAATTTTGGTGTAAGGCGTCAGGAAGGGGTCCTGTTTCTGCTTTCTGCACATGGCTTGCCAGTTTTTCCAACACCATTTATTAAACAGGGAGTCCTTTCCCCATTGCTTGTTTTTGTCAGGTTTGTCGAAGATCAGATGGTTGTAGGTATGTCGTATTTCAGAGAAATGCAAATCAAAACCACATCGAGATACCATCTCACACCAGTTAGAATGGCGATCATTAAAAAATCGGGAAACAACAGATGCTGGAGAGGATGTGGAGAAATAGGAACACTTTTACACTGTTGGTGGGAATGTAAATTAATTCAACCATTGTGGAAGACAGTGTGGCGATTCCTCAAGGACCTAAAAATAGAAATCCCATTTGACCCAGCAATCCCATTACTGGGTATATATCCAAAGGATTATAAATCATTCTACTACAAGGACACGTGCACACGAATGTTCATTGCAGCACTGTTTACAATAGTAAAGACCCGGAACCAACCCAAATGCCCAACGATGATAGACTGGATAGGGAAAATGTGGTACATATACACCATGGAATATTACGCAGCCATCAAAAACGATGAGTTCACGTCCTTTGTAGGGACATGGATGAACCTGGAAACCATCATTCTCAGCAAACTGACACAAGAGCAGAAAATCAAACACCGTATATTCTCACTCATAGGCGGGTGTTGAACAATGAGAACACATGGACACAGGGAGGGGAGCACTACACACTGGGGTCCGTTGGGGGGAAATGGGGGAGGGGTGGGGGTGGGGAGGTGGGAAGAGATAGCATGGGGAGAAATGACAGATACAGGTGAGGGGACGGAAGGCAGCAAACCACACTGCTATGTGTGTACCTATGCAACAATCTTGCATGTTCATCACATGTACCCCAAAACCTAAAATGCAATAAAAAAAAAGAAAAGAAATGGGATGTAACCAAAAAAAAAAAAAAATGATCTGAATCCAAAATAAACTGACATAGAAAACTGTGGAAGTCAGATTTAAAGCTTTTGTATTAGTTCATTCAAATCTTTCATGACCTCTTGTTTGGCAGATAAAATTGGAACATACATGTTAAGAACTGTGCTAGAAAAATGCCACTAATGATAATTTTTATATAGCCTCTCCAGTGTGACAGGCAGTGTGCTGGGGACTTCCAGGTGCTTCATGAATCTTCAAATAAATTTACAAGGATGGAGGAGTAGCTTCATTTTCAGATGAAAAAACACGAACCCAGAGAAGCTCAATAATTTAGATAATGTTACACATACTCTGATAGTAAAGGCTTTTTAACCAGAAGTCTTCATATTTATTCATCAACATTGCCTGGGGAGCAGAGCGAAACTGCGGGTTCTAGGGTATCACCACAGAGATTCTCAATGTCTGGGAGGATGCCCTAGAACTAACATCTTTCAAAGGTCTCCTAGGATGACTCTAACACAGGATGCCTTTGAACATACTTTGAGACACGATAATTTAAGCCGTATCTGGCTCAAGTGGCTTGGTGTTTGTTCCAGGGAAGTGTTTGAGCTCAATGCCAGTTTGAACCACCTGCCTGGTAAAACTCATCCCTACACATGCAGCTGGCTGCTTCACCCAGACTCTGCAGGTCACTCCTACTATCGTTCCTCCCCTTTCTCCATTCATGTTTCTCAGATGTTTCCCACACCCACGTGGCTTTGCCAAGTCTTTGCTAAGGGAAAGATTGGACAATTGGCAAAAAAAGAGAGATGATAGTTTGGAGGGTGTTCTCAGGCTCCAGATTATAAGCGAGTGTCCTCTGCCCCTCTGAGGTTATTTCACTGGGAACTTTTTCCTGGGACTGAGGGAATCCTGCAAAGAACCATGCTCTGAATTTAAATCCAAGTCACCCTCCTTCAATAGAAATTCACATACGGTTCATCTGGCCTGGCTTTTCCAGGCAGACAGACCCAGCAACCAGGCCCAGCATCCTCTTTTGCCCACAGGCTTTTGTGTTTAAAATCCCAGTAAAAAAGAAAAATGACAGTTCAATGGGTAATTGAGCATCTGTGGTTTATCTGTTTTTTCTTCCCTGTCTCTGAAGCTTGAGAAGCAATGCAGATAAATGAGCCATAGCCTCATCCTATTCCTGGCCCAGGAGCAGCTGCAAAATGTAGCACAATGGCAATGACAATGGGCATGGAGAGGGTCCAGAGCTGAGGCCTGGGTGGAGTCAGTCTCTGAGCTGGGAGAATGCCAGGCACTGATGCGTCCTGAGACCACTGCTCCTGCTCTGCGTCATGAGGCTCCCCTTTATCGTGTTTAGTTGATAATAAAGATGAAGACAGGGCTGAGAGAAACAAGGCAAGGTTCAAAGGCAGCTAGGTTGAGTTTGAGATGTAATTTTAAAATATCTAGGTGAAAATGGCATGGTAAACAATAATGATAATGATAATCATAACAGTAATTTTAATAATGGCTTTTTATGCATCCTGCGCATAACAAGTAGAAAAATCACTGATATTTGGATTTCAGAAAGATTGAAGTAGCTTAGACACAGGGATGTGGTCATGAGTCAACACTTTATAAAGAGCCAGGGCTCTGTGACATTTTGAGAATGACATGTTGTGTGTCGTTTGGGCTCTTGTCAGTCCTTCCCTGTAGAATCTAAGGTCAAGTTTATTACTTTATAGGCACTACTAAGCATGTACTCAATAGGTGCTCAAAACAATGTAGGTCTTATGTATATTTACATAACAATTATGTAATTACATGACAATTCCAAAACTAATAATAAGGCTTATGTTTTTTGAAAGCAAGTTTAAAAACCACACACACAAGGGAATTTTCAGACATATGACTCAGAACATTTTAAGATTTCTTTTTCAAAAGGGTTGTAGAAGGGAATGGTAATTTTTTGTGAAGCCCTAGGTAAATCTGACTGTCCATTTCTCCCCTAAATATTCAGATGGGTCCAAATAAGAAATAAAAAGTTTTTAAAAAATTACATGGGATGCTAAAAAGGAAAGGGTTCGTCAAGTTTGAGGAGTGGTGGTGAGAAGATCACAGATGAATATACACATGGAGTTAACCATCTTTTGGAGTTTTCATTGGCACCAAAGGTATCTTTGTGTGTGTGTGTGTGCAACAAGCAATTTTTATGAGGAATTGGAGATTTTTCATCACTGGTAACAGGCAGACACTGAAGAGAGATCATGAAGATTAAAGGATTGTGGTTAATAGAACAGCAAACAAATGGGTAATAGAACAACTGGATGATACTTAGTGAGATTGCTGGGTTAATGAACTTCTGAAGATGCCCTACTGTGAGCAGTTTGAAGACTTAGGGAGAGGAATTCATGAGCTGCTTCTCATATGGTGAAGATTGTATTTGTGGAGGGAGAAAGCCCCACTCTAAAACCAAAGAAAAGATATTGCCTACTCCCACTCAAATATCCTGGGAAAAAAAATGATTATTTAGAAAGTGAATGAAATTCAAACTATGTGCATTTCTCTAGGAATTTTCCTTCAAATAGAGCTCAATTTAGACTACTGTGTCCAGTCCACCTTTTTAATCCAAAGTGAAGTGCCAAACTCAAGACCAAGAACCACCATAAGCAATATTAGACCAACTGGTCGAGAGATGCCAGAATAAATCCCTGTTTTTTCACCTAGAAAAACCAACTTCCCCCTCATTGATTCCCTGCCCTCTCTTTACTTTTCCTTTTGCAAACATGCAAAAGCCATGTTCATCTTTTCCTCTTTCTCCTCTAAATGTCAAAGAAACCATTTTAGCTTTGTTTTCTTGTTTCAAGAAAGCAGCCAAAGGCCGGAGAATAGTGTGTTTTAATTCATTTCAAAAAACAAACTCACACGGATTGATTCTTCAGGTCCCCCGACTTGGACCTGGCACATTGAGAAGTCCAAACAACTCTGCATAGTTACATTAGTTGTGTTCTTGTGCTACGAAGTCACTGGATGCGGGTAGCAGTGAAACATTCCCAAGACAATCACTAAACATGCAGAATGCCAGCCAGAAGCATGGATCACTTTCAGGGGTCTTGCTGCAGGGAGCATGAGGTTGTATTTTGTGTGCATTGACAACTGTATAGGATAAGCCAGCTGTGTCCAAGGGAGCAAAGCATCCCCTGTTCTTCTGAATTTAAAAGGGTTTCCTCCTCAAAAGAGTATATTTTCAATCCCTAAATTTTGGGGCCAGATACAGCTTCAAGTGGCACCTGTTGCTCTCTGGAGAGCAACATGGCCACCATGAGCATGAAAGCTGTCTGAGCACCCCCCTCCTTCCTCCCCAGCATAGAGAGAATAACTGCCATTTCACCCTACAAATCCAAAAGAGTCTCCCCCATCCCTGGGTTTAAGCATGGACACAAGCCAAGCAAGCCTCGGATACCCAGGCCTGTTTGATTGCAGCTATGTTGGTGTATTCCATGTACGAGGTGGAAAAGTGCTTTTGTTGTTCTACCTGATCCAGTTGGGGAAACAGGAATGTGGGGTGCCTGCCTGATGGCCCCTTAGCCCATGTGCTTATACTGGGATCTGTCCCGAGGGATCTGCACCTGGTTGGCAGTCATTTTGTGGTGGACGTGGTAAATTGCAAGTGTTACTACAATGACGAGGCCCAAGATGAGACCCAAAATCAGGGGCAAGGTTTCTTCCAGTTGTTCCCGCTCATCCACTGGGCATTTATGCTCTGAAATGGGAAAGAAGAAAAGCAGTGAGCTCTGGTCAAAATATTCTGGATCATAAGTTCTATAAAACAAAAAGAAAATAAAGGTAAAAAAGATTTCTCAAGGAAGCTTTGGGACTACTTTTCAGAAACAGTTTTCCCTAACCAAACCCAAGGTTAACCACTTAATATTTCTACATAATATGTAATACAAATACATAGATTAAATAGGACAACATTTAGTTACTGGATTCCTGGCAGATGTCAACCAAACATCCAGATAATTTATAATTTATTTAAATGTTCAGAGTTTCACCATTAGATACAACCATTACCTTTTAAATTGTTGATTTATTTTTAACCTTTTATTAGTGATATGTACACATAAAGAATTATATAAAAATATATAATTTTCAAAGAGACTGAGGGCCGGGCGCGGTGACTCAAGCCTGTAATCCCAGCACTTTGGGAGGCCGAGGCGGGTGGATCACGAGGTCGAAAGATCGAGACCATCCTGGTCAACGTGGTGAAACCCCGTCTCTACTAAAAATACAAAAAATTAGCTGGGCATGGTGGCGTGTGCCTGTAATCCCAGCTACTTGGGAGGCTGAGGCAGGAGAATTGCCTGAGCCAAGGAGGCGGAGGTTGCGGTGAGCCGAGATCGCGCCATTGCACTCCAGCCTGGGTAACAAGAGCGAAACTCCGTCTCAAAAAAAAAAAAAAAAAAAAAAAAAAAAAAAAAGACTGAAAATACCACGTGTACCACGTGTTGGTGATGACGTGGAATTACTGGAACTCATAATACTCTTGTTGGAATATGTTGTGACCAGTCTGCAAAACTATTCTATAATTTCTAATAAAGACAAACAGACCCAGCATTCCATTCCTAGGTATTTGAAAACATAATGAACGCAAAAAGACTCTAACATAAATCTTCATTGCAGCTTTATTCATAACAGCCTAAAGGTACAACCAAAATGTCCATCAAAATAGAATGGATAAATCATGGTATATATTCATATAATGGAACACTAGTCAGTAATACAAAGGAATGAACTATGGCTACACATAACAAAATGGATGCATCTCAGGAATATTATGCTGACAGAAAATTGCCAGACACAAAAGAGTGTATCTATACTGTATGATTCCATTTATATGAAGTTCAAAAACAGGTAAATAATGGTGATAGAAGTCAGAATGTGCTTACATCTGGGGAAAGAAAACACAAAGGAACTTTCACCTGTGATGGAAGACTATCACCTAGATAGCTCGGTGATGTTTACATGGTTGCAAATATCGGCACAAAAGCATTGAACCATACACTTTAGATTTGTTCATTACTTTTTTTTTTATTGATACACACTATTCATACATATTTATAGGATGCATGTGATATTTTGTTACATGCATACACTGTAATGATCAGTTCTGAGAATTTAGGATATTCATTACCTCCAGCATTTATCATTTCTATGTGTTGAGAATGTTTCAAGTCGTCACTTCTGGCTGTTTTGAAAGGTACAACACATGGTTGTTAACTATAGACACCCTACTCTGCTATTGAACATTAGAATTTATTTCGATTGAACTATATGTTTGTAACCATTAACCAATCTCTCTTTATTCCACTCTCCCCAACACACACACACACACACACAGACACACACACACACGCATACACACACACACACACACACACACACACACACACACACACACACATCCTTCCCAGCCTCTGGTATCTCTCTACCTCCCTGAGATCAATCTATTGAGTTCCTATGTATGAGGGAATACATGCAATATTTTTCTCTCTGTGTCTGGCTATTTCACTTAATTCAATGCTACAGTGCCATCCACGTTGTTGGAAATGACACAAACTCACTTTTTTCAATGGCCGAATTGCATTCAGTCGTGTATATACACCACATTTTATTTATCCATTCATCTGTTGTTGGACACTTAGGTTGATGCTATAACTTTGCCATTGTGCCTAATGCTGGGATAAATGTAGGAGTGCATGTAGTATACGTAAATTATACTATATTTTGTAAGTAAGTATAGAGTTTGATGAATTTTTACAAATGAACATCCCATGTAACCAGCATCTAGATCAAGAACACAAATGTTAGCGGCACCTCAGCGTTGATTCATTTTCACCCTCCTAAAATTAAAGATAGCATCACAGTGCTGAGTCTCCATTTTTTACCTTCTAATAAAGGTGGTTATTGGGAGGCCTTCTAGTGCTCAGTTTGTCAGGCTAACCAGCATTGCATTCCTAGAATCCAGAACAGGCTCATTTGCTTCTCGTGGGTAACTGGTGGCCTTTTAACCAAAATCAGGAGCCACGAGTGAAAAATAAACAAGCTTCATATGTCTCTTCATAAATATCAAGTTTTTCAGTCCAGAAGACCAATTAAACATTTATTTAAGTACCTACTGTATGCCAATCTCCGCCTGAATCCCCACTGATGTAGTCCCTTCTCTCACCTTGCCTGAGATCAGCAGAAAGGAAGAGGGATGAGCTTTCCTCTCTAATAATTAACAATTAATGGAGACTTACTTTCACATGTACATCTTTTAAAAGCTGTCTACTTAACATTTCTAGTCCCTAAATTAACAGTCAGTTCTAAGCACAAAGATTATCTCATTTAATTCCTATAACAACTCTCTGGGGCAGACAATATTATTATACTCATTTTATACATAAGGTAATCAAGTCATAAAGATGATAAATGGTTTGCCCAGGGGTAAATGAAGCCCGATCTGAACTCAAAACTTAACACTGCAGCGGGGGCAGCACTTATCGGACCTGAATTACCAGCATTAAAAGGCTGCAGAGGCTGGGCGCGGTGGTTCACGCCTGTAATCCCAGCACTTTGGGAGGCCGAGGCAGGTGGAACACGAGGTCAACATGGTGAAACCCCAACTCTACTAAAAATACAAAAAATTAGCTGGGCATGGTGGCGCGTGCCTGTAATCCCAGCTACTCGGGAGGCTGAGGCAGGAGAATTGCCTGAACCCAGGAGGCGGAGGTTGCAGCGAGCCGAGATTGCGCCATTGCACTCCAGCCTGGGTAACAAGAGCAAAACTCCGTCTCCAAAAAAAAAAAAAAAAAAGCTGCAGAATCCCAAGGTGGAGCAGGAAGAAGGAGGGTTTTTCCGTTCAGTTTCCTGATCGGCATGCTGGTTGCAGAGGTTCATCCAGCATCTGAAAATTCAATGAGCTGCACACTTATTATAAAGGGGCATGAGGAAGCTTTCCTGGGTAATGAATACATTGATTTCTTGATTGTGGTGATGGCTTCACAGGTGTATTCATAAGTCAATATTTATTAAATCACATGTTTAAATGTGTACATCAATTATACCTGAATACAATTGTTTTATATTTGTACACATACATATATGTATATGCGTCTATATAATACACATATATAATAGAAAAATAAATTCTTCTAGAAATAGCTTTTTAAAAGACAGTTTGGCAAATGGCAGAGAAATGTTAAGGACTTACTAAGACTAAATTGAGTCTTTCTTCTTATCACAACCAAACGGTTGAAAAAGATTTAGTAGGAAACTTTTTATCCCCCACTCCTTGATTCTGTTTTAATGAGTCCCAACACTCTGAGGGTCACCCTGGACCAATACACTCATTGCTCCAGAGACAAGACCTGAGAGAACACAGCATATCAGAAAGAGTAGCAGGCCTAGAACTTCATGCCAGCGTGGCGGTGCTCTTCTCTAATATGATACCTCTTTGAAGAGAACAATGCGTAGAAACGGGATCATGCAGGGTAGGAATTTTGTTAACAACAAAGGTTATTTATTTTCTACACGATAACACTGTTGCCCAGGTAATGTTAGCGTAGACTGCAGGGTTTGATTGGCTTGCACGTGCTAGTGGCAACCTCATGCCATTTTTTCTTGCTTAATACAATACATTGAATAGAAACAAAGAATTTAAAAAATATTAAGAAGAAATACATCGATTTCAAATTATTTAGTGACAAGGCTAAGTCTGTGTTAAATGGTAAAAAATAATAATAATAATAAATTATCTCACAAAAACAATAGCAAAGGCCTCAGGGCCTTCAGACTCTCATCTATGCACCACTGCAGGCTGCTGCCTGAGTAGGCACCAAGCATCTTTGCAAGGTTGCCTTTGTGACTCTTGCCTATGCCTCTTCCCTTCTTAACTCTCCTGCCTGCAGAGCAATTTCACAGTTACCTACCCTGTCAGATCATGGTTTTAGCTCATTTCTTCCTGTTTGCACTCTAGTTACCCAGGCAAACAATCAGTCAGGAGCCCCAAATACAGAATCTACTTCCCTAGGCAGAAGGGGAGATGCAATGGAGAAAGAGTTTTGTCTGGGAGCAAGAGCTTATGTAGCAAAACCACTGGAGAACACAGATGGGTGGTGTTCTGTGTGGTCACAACTACAAGTGTTCAGGACAGGGAGGAAGGGAGGTTGGAGTTGAACTGGGAAGAATCTGGGGATAGTGCGTTAAATGACCTTGACCAATTTGTAAAGTCATGTTTTCTCTCTTCTCTTTGCTAATATCATAAAAATGAATAAATAGATATATACATGGATATAGCTGTAGAAATAGATAGATGAACTTTTAGTGGTCTTCATGGATCCAAATTATCACATCAAGCCAGAGTAGATGTAATGGAACACTGTGAAGGAGAGAGATGGCAGTGGGCTCAGATCCCAGATCTTCCAATGCCTGACCCTGGGCGAGTCTTTTAATCTACCTAAGCTTCAGTTTCCTATAAAATCGAGATGACACCTACTTTCCAGAGTTGCTGTGAGTGTCAAATGCCATACTACAGAAGGCCAAGCACAGTGCCGGGCACAGGGTAGCTTTTCTGTCGTCGTTTACTATAAAGATAGAAGTCTTGCACATTTAAGTCTTCTATGCATTTCTTTTAAGTATGGGAGTCTTTGGAGCTCAAGTACCAAAAGTATTATTTTAAAATGGATAATAAAAAGAATGTCTCATATCCCATGAAGAAAA